TTGTTAGTCACTATACGATAAATCAACTTCAGATTAATTAATTAATCAATAACTTGCATCCCTAATTTATACAGGAATGAAATTAACTTATATCAATCTACTCATATTCATGTAATTAAGCATTTTAATGATTTGGTCGATTAATCGAAAAAATAATCAATAGATTAATTACTAAAATAACCGTTAGTTGCAGCCCTAGTGGTATGCCAAGTTTCTTAAATAGAACGATGTTTTCTTTGATGTTTTGTATCTGAAGGGTAAGCATGTCTCAGGCAATTTAAAGGTCATAAAGGTAATGTGAACAGTTTAACAGACGTTTGCTCAACTTCAGACTGAATTCCAGTAATTATTAGAAACTACATCTGGCAGAGGAGGAGTTTGGAGTCTTGTCTTGGGGAGCAGAGTCGATAACAGGCCGGTCTTTTTAAAGTCTGACAGATAAACAGAGTTTTTAATCAAGACACTTCAAAGTCTCGTTTACTCTAAATCTGCGTGAAACCTGTTACTTTTCTCTACTGGGTGAGGAATGTCTCAGCCAGAGACACCCATCTGAGAACTGGACCAAGACTGGGGACAGAAATAACCTAAGGAGGACAGCTGTGTGTCAGCGACATGTGCTCCTTCACAATAAAAGACTCGTTTACAAATTAATTGTGATTTAGAGTGAGAGGGGGGTTTCATTCCAAATCTGAACCCTCCCTGCTGAAACAAGACAGTAAATAGGTAGAAATAAAAAGTTATTTTAAAATATATTTTCTGTCATTTTCTGACTGAAGTTACAAACTGATGCACTGCATTTTTTTTAAAATGACTGAAAAACTCAAGTTCTATCTTCTACTCACATCTTCTGTGAAGCTTCATGTGCTCCTTCAGGCTGCATTTCTGATTGAAGCGCCGGGCGCAGACCTCGCAGCGGTACGGTTTCTCGCCCGTGTGAATCCTCTTGTGCCTCTCGAGATGCCCGGCACGCTCGAAGCTTTTGCCGCAGTACGGACAGACGAACCGTTTCTTGAACATCAGCCTCTTCGCCGTCCTCCTCCGGACCGTGTTCCTGTACTGGCTGTGAGCCAACAGGCCACGGCTGAACGGGCTCTGCTGAAACCCTCCATCCAGAGGGGACTCAGAGAGGCACGACAGGGAGTTCTGTGCTAAMGTTAGGAAGCTGGAGTTGCTGCAGCCGCTCTCTTTCTGTGTTGCAGACCTCCATGGTCCCCCTTCATACAGAGACCCCTCTCCTGCCTGGTCCTTTAGTCYTCTGGGTTCTTCACCTCTCTCCTCCACGTGTTCACGTTTCACCTTCACCTCAGCTTCAGGCGGGACGATGAGGTTCCTCTCATCTGCAACTTCACTCTGGYTTTCTGCAGAAAACAAAAAATGATAAACTCTGATCAAAACCACTAAAAGTTTTTGTTTTTGTTTGGAGCCAAAAAGTTCCAGTTTTGTCTCAWYGGTTCCAGAAAACCTCAGGCTTGTCGATGTGTATTTTGGTGATCGAAACAGGACTATTTAGTGCAATCAGAAAAAATAAACTGGATGGCTTTCTGGCCTCCTTTTCGCCCATGCATTCTTCTGCATTCATGCAGTGCTTCTTGCGTCCATGTTCCAAAAGGTTGGCTACAGTCCTATAATGAGTCTAAGTGGTCAGAGGAGCATGAGGCTGCTTGGAGATGTTCTTGTAGCTTTTACTTTTAACATGGATCTCTACAATCTTCTTTCTGAGTTCCTCAGACAGCTCGTCTTTGTTTTTACTACTCTACAATTAGGGTTGGGTACCGAAACTCGGTTCCGGTATGGCACCGGGGCAAACATCAACGGTAGTACACAGACCAAAACACAACTTTAACTTCAGTGCCTCAAGGACAGCTGTTAATTTGAGGCCTCTTGTGTTCACTGTTAACAGTGACAGCCTCAGCACACAATCTCCACGGACTCTCTTGTACGCGGTTCGACTCGGCTCGGCCTCGGCCCTATGCGTCTCTCCAAGCGAGCTCCACAGCTGCGCTGTCTCAGAACCTCCTCTCTGGTGGTTCTAAGTGGGTAAAAGCGAGTACAGCACGCTTACRATTTTGACGCCAGCAGAATTCTGCTCGTGGATTAACTCTTGGATTGATTGACAGCAAATTTCCTCCTGGAGAGAGCCGCTTTTGTTTAGAAATATGAGCGCACTGCGCGATACGATAACATGGTGAAACTGACACACTTGGTTTGAATGAATGAGTGATTAACAATCTTCTGAAGACCTGCTAAATAGCATGGAAACGAGTAAAACATGCTGGATAGGGGCAATTGAGGACCAGGGTTGGGAATCACTAAACTATAAGATCAAACCATTAACAACTGAGCCAAGGGTAGGAAAATAAGCACCATCTTATCAGATCATTTACACCTCAAAACTCCAAAAATCACAACAGATTTATTCTGGAAACAAAAGGTTTTTTTTTTAGTAAAATTTGTTTAAAATGTCCATTTAATTTAAAGTCACTAATCAGTCTTCTGGTTTACGTTGTCGCTTTTTTATGGAAAATCTTTAAGATATATATTACACATTTATTGCAGAATTAATACAGCATGAGTGCTTAAAAACGTGGAGACTATTATTAGTAAGTATATGATGGGTGGGGACAAATAATCTTAGGCCCCTAAATCCCGTTCTGCTCTGGGCCCCCGTAAAACACTAGACCGGCTCTGGGCACCTGAATAAAAAGTGGATCAGGGGGTGTTTTTGGATCAGGATCAGGTGCAGCTCACCGTCTCTGCCGCGGTGGTGGTCCGGGCGCAGGGTCACCGCGTACCGAGCTGCTCTCAGCTCGTTATGCAGGACATCGACGGTGCTCTTCAGCCGCTTGATCTCGTCCTCCCGCTGGCACATCTCCAGCCGCAGCACCACCACACCTTCCTCCACAACTTTGGAGAGTTCCGCCACGGCTGCTTTGGCCAAGGCATCGATGACGGAGGCGATCTGAGAGCGCAAAGCGACGCCGCTCAACATGATGACAAAGTACTCAAACTCAGGAAAACGACGTCTACACTTTACAGCGACGAGAGCAGAGAAACCGTCCCGGGAGAGGTCGCTGAATAACGGTAACAGGCCGACGTTCGCCCGCCGGCTGCTTCATGTTGTAGCTTTTTCCATTTGGCTTTAAAAAGGCAGATATCATCAAGCACAAGTTAATTGGTACCATAAGAAAAGATAAACAAGGCTAGCTCTGGTTTTACGGAAGTGACGACACAGTACCGTAATACTGAAGAGAAGCGCAAGGCTGATTCAATGAAAACTACCATTATCAGAACAGCCAATCCCCAAACGTCTTCGAGTCCCAACAGCCAATCACAGCAGACGTCCCGCCTACTCCGATCACTTTTAATCTTTCATTATAAGGTTAAAGGCGGACATAAAACAAGAAAATGTTCATGAATTTAAGATTTTTTTTAAAGAATTTGAAAATTTATTAAAAAGCAGGCAAAGCAAATACAGACATAGTTTAAAATGCACCACAAAAGCTTCAATGATCTCCCCACAAAAAAAATTATTTTTAATTTATAGCTAAGTTATATATAAAATAACTTCAGCAAACGTAAAACATAAAACCAGCAAATATAGTAAATTTGTAATATTTTGCTAATACAAATGTAAAGTGTTTTGTATCTGTTTGTTTATTTAAAAAACAACATAACATGATGAAATCTGTTTGACAACTAATTTTCCTTGCTTATACTCTAATAAAAACATGACATTTGTTTAAAAAAAACATCAAAAAGATAATAAAATGACTGCACAAAAACAAATCCAGGAGCAGACATACCTTAGATCTGAATGTGCACAAGATAATTCCAAAATAAACTCCTAAATAAATGTTTGCAAACAGTTTTGGAGTGTATATATACAGTAAATGCACARCATATTTTAATGAGATAAAACAGCTAAATGCTTGTCTAATTAAAATGTAATTTTAAAAAGTTTAAAATATACAAACAAGAATGTATTTGTTAAAAAGAAGTGGCTTTAAACAGAAATAAAGTCAGTGTTGGGACTTTTCAGTGCTGAGCAGCGCTACCTCCCCAGCAGGTGAACGTCTTCATGTAACCTGAGCTTTGCCTGCAGGCCGAAGCTTTTATCGCACTGCTTGGCTCGGCTGTGGAAGCGCTCGTGTCTCAGGCAGTTGTCCCGTCTGGAGAACCTTTTGCCGCAGACCCTGCAGCTGAACGGCCTCTCGCCCGTGTGCACTCTCTGGTGCGTCTTCAGCCGGGTCTTCTGGGTGAAAAACTTCCCGCATTCCAGGCACCTGAAGGGTTTCAGGGCGTGGTGAGCGGTCTTGTGGTGCTCCAGCTGAGACAGGTACGTGAAGCCCTTGTTGCACACGGAGCAGATGAAGAGTTTCATGTTCGTCAGCCTTTTGCCTTTCGAGCTGATGGTGAATTTGTTGCCCTGTTCGCTGYTTGAGCCTCCCGCTGTGGATCTCTGAGGCAGAGCTGCTGATGGCCCCGCCCACTGCGAAGCAGGCTCATCCTGAAGGACCGCAGGGCGTGAATCATAACTAACTGTGGAAGTATTTTCCACACTTACAGGGTGAATTCTCTCCTCTACTTTCACTGGAACAGGTAAACAACCATCAGCTAATTCAACTCTTGGAGATGATAAAGAATTATAAGAGCTTAGTGCGTCTCTGCAGGCAGAATACGGCTCGAGGCTTGACGAGAAAATCTGTGCGTGTCGCTGCAACGGAGCAGAACCGTTCTCAAATACACCACAAGCAGGCCAGACAGAGTCGCCTTTACTTTCTGCAATCGAACAAACAACTTCCGTCTCCGTGTGATTTGTCGCTTCAGTGACGAGCAGCTCAGTTTCTGGTTCTTGTTTTACAGCTGGGCTGATGTTCTGGTTCTGGTCTTTTCCAATGAAGCCCTCGCAGAGTAAATCAGCTGGGTTTAGTTGAGGAAACGCCATGCCTTCTTCATGACCCTCATTTTGATCTGCAACCAAAATGAATCAAACTCACATGTAAAAACACAAATATTTATTTTAGCACAAAGCAACACCAAAACAAATCAGACAATTTAATGTCACTTGTCTCCAGTGAGGAAAAATATAATTCACTTCAGAGGTTTAATTTCTCATAAATTCACAAACAAATCTCAACCTGTTGATTTTACTAACCAACTTAATCCTGATTTTTTTCTCATTCTTTAGTTATTCTGAGTAAAAAGCATCAAATTAGCAGATTCTACAAGGCTTCATGATTTTATAAATTGGATTAATAAGTTGATCAAAAGGACACTTTAAATTCTGGACGTTGTTTTCCCTGAAGCCAGGGAGTGGTCTGTTGTAATTTTAGACCTTTTAATCAGAAAATATGAAAAATAATGAATTTGAACCTTAGCAATTATACCATAAGCTTTGTGTGAGCTGTTATGCTAAATGTTTAGCTGAASAAGAAGAAAACAGTGTATGTAAATTATGATCAAATTAAAAAAATCAATAAAACGATTTTGAAAGGAGACCAGTAGAAATATTTTTGAGGAGCTAACATAGGAAGAAAAGCATCTTGTTAATCAGAAAAATCATGTTACATATAGTTTTTTTATTTATTTTTTTCTAATGAGGTTTGGTGACAGGTCCTTCCAGCCAGATGTGCGGGTTGACTTCTTACCCCCCAGGAGTAGACTCCCTGCTCTTGTTTGCTCCTCCTCCTTCTCTGCAGCTCGTCTCGCTGCAGCTTCGTGAGCCTCGCAGAGTTCAGTCTCCATCACCTTCAGACTGCTCCGCAGCTCCTGGATCTCGCTGTCCCTCCGCTGCACCTCCAGGCGCAGGACCAAGGCGCCCYCCTCCACCAGCTTCGTGATTTCTGCCACCGCGGCTTTGGTCAGCACGTCCATGATGGCGGCTACCTGCGTACCGACACCGAAGGGGAACGACATCCCGCCGGGACACTTTTAAAAACTCAGCGGAGATGTTGTTCAGTCTCTTTAAAAGGTCGAAACAAAACACGAACTATCTAGCAGTGTAGTGTTGTATGGGCTTACTTCCGGTAAAACATTGGGAGCGGATGTGACGTTTGTGATTAACGTAAAACACCTACTACATGCGAACTAAAAATCTTTTTGCTTCTGTTTTAGTTGATACTGTCATTCTCATCTCATTTGGAAGTGTGTGCTGAAACTTATTTTTAAACTTAATGAAAGCGGAACACTAATGAAGCTAATATGCTAGCTATAGCCAGAATTCTAGCAAAATGCTAGTTAAAAGATAAAACTAGCTAAAGGCTAACTGAAATCTAAAAGTAGCAACTTTCCTAGAAGCTATTAGTAGCAGAATGGTAGCTAAAAAGTTACAAGATGCTAGCTAAAAATAGCAGGATGGTAGCTAATAAGTAAAAGTAGCAAATTCTAGCAAAAAGTAGCATAAGAAAACAGCTGATTTTAATGACAACAATGTTTTTTAAGGAATTGGAGATGCTGATGTAATTTTATGGAGAAAACTTTAGTAAATAAAGTATGAAGTAGTTAGACTGTCAAAAACAAATACATAACAAAAACACCTCCATCAATACAGATATTATTTTTCATCCAAAATTCAATTTATTCACGAACCACATTCTTATCATTCCTATTGTTTATGTACACATACTCTGTATACAAAAAATAATAATAAAATTCTGTCATTAGACAAGTGCAAACATTTAATGTCAGGATCCAGATTTGAGAATAAACTTTAGATTTTCTGATCCAAAAAGTGGGAACAACACACAACAAATACGGAAGGAATGAGAAATTATTCAAGTGAGTTGTTCTTTTAATAAAAAGCTGTAAAAAAAAAAATCCTCATTTCATGAAACATTCGAGTTTTACATTTTTCTTTGCTTCATGCTTTCGCAGGAACAATAATTGAAGCGGTTCAGTTCAGCAAACTCAACACCATGCAACTGAACTAATTTATACTAAAATAAAAATCCTCAATTTTATTATGAAAATGCAGCCTTTTGTGAAACATGGTGAAATCTTGAACAGCAGAATTTGTTTAAATCATCACTTTTTACAGACTTTTAAAAAAATCTTTTCACCATACTGCGTTGAGTCAAAACCATYGATGAGAGAGAATAAACTCAGCTTTGTGATTTTTTTTTTAAATTTTTTAAACTTTAATATCAAAACATGGAGCAATGTGGAAAGGCCATAAAATGTAAAACTATTTATTCTGCCGTAGATAAAACAGCAGGAAAGGTCTTGGTGAAACAGTTTGACTGTAACAACATAATGCGTTATAATTCTAAAACGCGGATCACCTGGACGGAGTCTTTAACTCCGAACTTTACTTTCCTGACCCGTCTCCCTCCGCCTCGCCCTCTCGCCCTCGCTCTTTCTCTCTCCTCAAAGTTGCTATTGCGACCGCCTCGTCGAAGCACATGCTGAGGGGGCTGTTCCTGTTGGCGTCCCTCGTGGCGCCGTCGGCTCCGTCTCTCCTCCTCTCCCTGAGGAGGGCCGGCCTCTCCTTCCTCTCCGCGCCCTCGCCGTCCCCGTCCTGGGCCGGTTCCCCGTGTCGCTGGTCCTGCTCCGCGGGGACCCTCAGAGAGTTGTCCCTCCTCTCTCTTTGCTGCTGCTGCTGGCGGAGGTTCAGGGCGGTGATTCTGCAGTGCTGGGGCTTCGGAGGCACGATGGGCACGGCTTTGACTTGGTAAATCTTGGGTTGTTTGGACACGACCAGCTTCCTGCCGACGCCTCCTGAGCTGTTRTTTTCACACTTATCATCGTTCTCCTTTGCTTCCTGTCCATCAGCTGTGATCACCGGTGGCTGTTTATTCACCTGCGGTTGTGTTCTGCTTTCATCTCTCTGTGTGTCATCCTCCTCTTCTTCGTTTTTATGCTCAGATTCTTTCTCCTGGTTTGGTTTTTCTTCTGATTCCTCCCTTTCTTCTCTAAATTCTGTCTCGTTTGTCACTGCTTTATCCAACTCTGTTTGCTCTCCTGTAGCATCTGCTGTTTTCTCTTCTCCATCTTGAGTTACACCTGCCTCTGCATCATCATCATCGTCATTATCATCATCATCATCATCCCTCTGTTCCTCATCCTCTATCACTTCACAAACAACATCCTCAAGCTCACTCCAAATGTCACCGTTTGTCCCGGAGGTCCYGACGTCCTGGTGGTGGTTTTGGTCAGCTGCTTCTTCTTCGCTTCCCTGTCGGGGTTCCTCTAAAGYAGGCGGCTCACCGACATCACCAATTTCTGTTTCRTCTTCGCTGAAACAGCCTCCTGGATGTTGGGCTGGTGATAAAGTGTCTATTAGCTCAGTTTCTTTCCGCGAGGCACGTGGAGAATAAGGAGAACCGCTGGAAGCAGATTCAGCAGATTCCTCCACGTCCTCGGCCTCAGTTTCAGTGTTTGAGCGGTCGATGTCCTCGTCGCTCCGCTGCAGGACCGCCACACAGCAGCTTGGCGACGCCTCTGAGGTCGGAGGTTCGTCACTTTGTGCATCAGTGGTCGTTGCACAACTGAAATAACAAATAAATGAAGTTTAAACAGAAGCAGGAATACAAAATGAATAAAGTTAGGKTTAAAGTAAGGGCATGTTATTATAAAAGCAGTTGCAGTTTCCACACGTCATTTTGTTTTAATTTAAATTCACAACAAACTTGTCTTCCAGCAGGTGGTGCTGTTGCAGAAAACTATTTAGTTAGCGATATAAGATGTGCTGCATAAAGTGTTAAAAYTAGGTCAAAGTTGAGGAGTTTATTGCTAAAATAAATTGTATTGAAATGTTAAAGTAGGCTTACAGATTTCWTTTTAGTTTGTGCAAAAATTACCAGGGATACACTGGAAAATGTTGTACRTGCTGAAACAAAGGGAAATGTTCAGCTTTGAAAACCACAACCTGAACTTTCATAAAGTTTCACTATTGAGCAACTATTTTCTCAGGTATTCATGCTCAGTGTTTGAAAAAAATAGTTCCTGCAGTAAAAAAAACTCAGTACATTTAAATATCTTCTGGGAAAGTCAAAATTCATTATTTTATTTCTGATTTAATCCCCAACGATTCCTGTGAAAGTATCTGACTCTTCGTTCCCTTTTTTATTTTAGCTGCYTTTTAAAAGTATTGCTAATGCTATGAACAAGGCTACTAATGTAGCAATTAAAGTTTGTGAAAAAATAATGAAAACAAGAGAAACTGGCTAAAAGCTAAAATAGCTGAAGGCAAGCTGAATGATAAAAGTAGTGTGAGACTACTTAAAAGCAGCAAAAATTTAGCTAAAAGCTAAAATCACAAAACTATACCTAAAAATTAAAGTGGCAAAATGGTAGCTAAAAACTAAAGGTAGCAATAGGTTAACAAAAACAAATAAAAAGGCCAAATACAAGCTAAAATTAACAAAAGGATTTGCTAACCTTTTGCTACTTTCACCTTATAATTTGTCTTTTACTAATTTGTTTTTAACAGCTAAAATGACAAAAGGCTAGTTAAAACGGAGGTGACAAAAAGGTAGCTAAAAGCTAAAAGTAGCAATATGCTAACTGTTAACTGCTAACTACAAGCTAAAAATAGCAAAAGGATTTGCTAACATTTTTCAGCTTTCACCTTCTAATTTGTCCTTTGATAATTCAATACTTTAACTGCTAAAATGACAAAGTGTTAACTAAAACTGAGGTGACAAAAAGGTACCTAAATATTCTGCTTTCACCTTCTAATTAGTCTTTTATTAATTTGGTTTTTTAACAGCTAAAATGACAAAAAGCTAGCTAAACACTGAAGTGACAAAACGGTAGATAAAAGCTATAAAGTAATAAAAGGCTAAAAGTAATAAAAGGCTTTAAAAAGCTTTWAAAAAAATAGGACAGTTGCTAAAAGTGGCAGAATGGTACTTGAGAAAGTGAAAATAGCAAAAGCACCTAAAAAAATTTAAAATAGCATAAAAAGATCAAAACTAAAGAGATCTCAGTGTGTTTCTTTGGGGAAAATATTTATATAAAGATTTTGAAAAGAGAGTTAAAGTTGCAAATGATATCTGTAAAAACAGAAAAACAGACAGCWGCTGAGCCGAATTATCTTTCAGATTCTTCAAGTTGCTGTTTAACAAAATAATGAAGTGAATTTAAATGTGTTCTTTGTGACAAAATAATCTTAAATTAGATATTTATAAATTAGATATATCTATAACTAGATATTTTTTTACCTTTGTGTGTTGTTTTCCATTTGATCTCCTTCAGGATGAACCTCGTCGTCGTCTTTCTTTGCCATCTGCTCTTCTTCCAGTCCATCTTCATCACATCCTCCTCCTCCTCCTTCCACATCTGCAGCTTCTGTTTCTTCACAATCAGAAGCTTCGAGGTCCGGCGACTTGGAGGGCTTTATTTCAGGACTCGGTAAGTCCTGCCCAGGCTCTGGGCCAGGACTGGAACAGAGACCGAGGTTTCCCTCGTCCTCCTTACAGCCGGACAAAGTGCTCAAGAAGAAATCTGTCGGGAGGCTCCTAAAGAACATGGTCTCATCGTCACTGCTGCTGTAACCGTTTTCATCGCTCCCCACCTCCGAGGGTTCCTCCTCGGAGCTGGACTGGTCCGGACCCTCTATGGGGGAGGTCATGTAGGGCAAGCTGAGGGATTTAGTGTGTCGACTGTTCAGGTCGAGGCTGAGGGGTCTGCGTGGACTGGACTCCGTGGGACTCAGGGTGGGCTCGTGCGGACTCAGCAAAGCGAGCRTTTGGGGCGAGTGCGACTGATTCATGATTTCGTACTCGTCGTCCGAGTGACCGGGAGGCTCGACGGAGAACTCGTTCACCTGGGAGGTAAAAAAAAAAAAGCTAAATTTATTTTTAAACATTCGCCACCTTCAAATCTCATCTTCTTCTACAGACAAATGGCCCACCTGATAGGACACGCTGCAGTCCATGTGGTCCATAACGCTGCAGTCCATCCGGTCCAGGAAGTCAAAGTTGTCCTCGATGTAGCCGGACAGCTTGTGGTCGTCCTCCACCTCAGTCGAGTTCAGTAAGTCGGCGGGACGGACCGCGATGTCGGCTCCAGGATGTGACCCTTCTGTTGGCTGCTGATCTGTCGACTCTGTTCCCGCCATCACTGTGAAACGTTCACAGGCCGGATCAGAATTATTGCTGAACATTTCTGGAAAACAACAATAACACTTAGAAATTAAAATGAATAAATTATATTGTTACTGACATATCTACTTAATCTGTTGGTTAGATTTTTGAAAACAACTGTTAAATGTGTTGCAGCCATTTTCAAGAAGTCTTCTCTGTAATCCTTTTCTGTGTGGAGGACCGAAACTGACATAATTAGAAATAAACGCAGAAATATATAAATGGACCGATAAATAAATAAATACACTTAAAATGCACCAATTAAATTTAAAAAAGGAGAATTTTACCTTGTTTTACAATTTAATTGATCATTAAATTTCTTTGCCAGCTTATATATTTTAGAGCATAATTTACATTT